CCCCAAAACCCCAAAACCCCAAAACCCCAAAACCCCTAAACTTAATTTTCTAATTGAAATGGTTTAAATCATATTATTGTTAATTCGCAGGCAATCTCTTAAGAATTTGCCCTTTGGTGTTGGAAGTATGGTAGATTTTTAATGGTTTTCATCTGTGCTTTCTACTTCCTTCTTGGGGATTGGTAAGAATTTTATTGATTGGGGTTTTCTGGGTTATGGGTTTTATTGTTACAAGGGGTTCTTGAGTTGGAGTTAAGGCGGAAGGGAGGAGGATTCAATATTTTGGAGTGAAGGTGGTCAGGCATAGTTATTTTTAAGCTATAGGAAGAAACAGTATTTTCATTTAACTATGAGACATTATATTCTTCTATATTTAGTATACTTGAAGTTCCAGATAATTTATCACAAAAAATCACAATTTAACTAGAGCTTGAAGCTGGGCTGATTGTTGGATAAGTTCTTTCTTTGAAAAGGAGCAAAGATCAAGATGAGCTCCATTTAATCAGAACTAATTTTTGAGTCCCAGAAATTATTCTTGTGGTATTTCTCAGAATCAATTACTAATCCTCCATCCCATTCAAACCTTCCCTCCTTCCTTTTAACAATTAATCTATTACTACCTTCTTAATTTTCCTTTATTAAGCAGAGATAAATTGTCATGTTAGGGATAAATGGCTCAGGGCAATCAGAGATGGAAATATCTTTAAAATTCGGATGGAAGAGTTAGCTTGAATTATCAGAACTCTCTTCTCGGTTTCTTGGGAACATGAATAAGCAGGAACAAACTACAGCTTGAGATAGGAGGAAGTTTGAGAATGCTCCACGCTTTTCAAGGAAGCATAGAGTATCTCAGCACAAGCATCTCAGTATTTGTTGAAAGCTAAAATGACTATATAGGTGATTGTAAGACTATCAGAGAAGTAGCGAGGACAAGGGCATTTCATAGCAACAATGGAGGAGAGAAGGCAAGATACATATTTTTGAGGAGCAATTAGCAAAGGAAGAAAGTAAGGCTCATGGGAGTCATATTATTAGCATTATTATAATTTACAATTTCGTGCATATAGGTTGGGGTTTTGGGGTTTTGGGGTTTTGGGGTTTTGGGG